GAGTATGTGTAAAGGGGGGCCTGATGGAAATTGTAGTTGTAGATCACGCTTGGTGCCACGTAGAGATATCAAAATTTTCTTTCTCTAATTGCGAACGCCCATCACTCTGTCGACAGTGCTTGTGCATCTTATCAATTTTTTGCATAGCTTGTGGCTCTTGCATGATAGTATCCACGCAGTATGCTGTGACCAGTAAGCTTCTCCACAGCATGTGCATGATGTGGCGGATGCGGTGACACACGAACTTCGCATCGCGACTACAAATCCTCAACATCAGCTTGGCTCTCAAACCTTTTCCACAACATTCTATTCGCCCTGCCCACTATATCGAGCTCTTATCGTCTCACCGCGAGACATGCGGGTGTTGTTGATCGTTAGCCCGTCTCCACCCGCTTCACTAACGTGATGATCGTAAGGCAAGACAAGAAGCCGCGGCAGGGACGATAACACTGAAACTCTTGCGCGATCCACAAAGGGAACCACAAGAGTACGCGGACACAGGTTCGTCCGTTTTGTAAAGCGAGAAAGGCAAAAACCTAGTCTCAAAGTCGACACGTCGAACGCTAGTCATGGCCTTGGCGGTCGCGATGTCCGTTGTCCAACGAAAGTTCTAGCCACGTGAAGCGATTGTCCCGCGTTCAAGGAGAGGAAATCCACTTTTCGATACGGCAGACGCCGCAATGGACCCGGTGGGGTGCAGCGGCCTGTACAAAGACACGATGCGCAAGTGGTGAGCAGTTGCCGGGAGTGTTTAGTAAGTACTGCGACCTGGATTCCGACCGACGTCGGGAGCTACTGAAAGACTCGGAAATCTTGGGAGACGACGATATAGCTAGCCCGCTTGACGGTAGACGGCTCATCTAGGCGGCAAACACCCACTCGAGCTAAGCCCCAAGAAGAGCGGGGAAGAATATTTTATTGGGGAAGGGATGATGCAAGCGGTAACCTACCTGTGTTGACCCCACTTCAAAGGGTCTCAGCCAAGATGCTACAACAGGCATACTACCGAGGATAGGGACAGTCGAGTGGCGACTCGACTCGTTTAAGAAGTGACCTTGACCCGTTCGACTTGTCTCTGCCAAACGGATACCCAAATCAACTCTTACACCACAACTACTACCATCGCCTCAACCATGTCTCCAGGAAAAGTTTCGACTCTCGACTTTGAGACCTTCTACAACATCATCGATGGCAAGCAGCGCGGCTCAGACAACATTCACCATGGTATCAACCCCGCAACTGGCCAGCAACTCTGGGATGTACCCATTGCGAGCGAGCAGGACCTGAATGACGCTGTTGCGGCCGCGAAGAAGGCATTTCCCGCATGGAGAGATACCCCAGTAAGTTTTGACTGTACGGAGTGCATGCGAGACATATACTGACTTCGTACCCCTACCCTTGCAGATTGAGAAGAGGAAGGAGCTCCTTAACAAGGTCGCCGAGTCGTACCAGCAACACACCGATGACTTTGTCAACCTGCTCTGCAAAGAGTCTGGCAAGCCGGTACGTCATGGCAGTTGGTGGGATCATTGACACCTTGCTAATGTACGAGTAGAGAAAGTTTGCTGCCATCGAGGTCGGTGCCGTTGCTGGATTCGTCGGTCACCACTTGACTCTCGACGTCCCTTCTGAGAAGGTTGAGGATGAAGAGAAGACCATCTACACAGAGTACTCACCTCTAGGTGTTTGCGGTGCCATCTGCCCATGGAACTTCCCTCTTGTTCTGAGCACTGGAAAGATCGCACCGGCCCTCATGACCGGAAACTGCATGATCGTCAAGCCTTCACCCTTCACACCTTACACAGCTCTGAAGTTTGTAGAGCTGGCTCAGGAGATCCTGCCTGCTGGTGTCCTTCAGGTAGTCGGCGGCAACAACGAGCTCGGTGTTCAGATGTGCCTCCACCCCGACATTGCCAAGATCAGCTTCACCGGCTCCATCGCTACCGGAAAGAAGGTCATGGAGACATCTGCAAAGACCCTCAAGCGGGTCACACTCGAGCTGGGTGGCAACGATGCCTCCATCATCCTTCCTGATGTGGACATCAAGAAGACTGCGCCTGAAGTCGTCATGGGTGCGTTCCAGAACAGCGGCCAAGTATGCGTCGCCACCAAGCGCATCTACATCCACGAGTCCATCTACAAGGAGTTCCTTGAGGAGATGGTCAACTTCACCAAGTCGATCAAGACCGGTAACCCAGACGATGGCGACAACCTGCTCGGACCTGTCCAGAACCAGATGCAGTACGAGCGCGTAAAGGGCTTCTTCGAGGACAGCAAGGCCAAGGGCTACAAGTTCGCCGCTGGCCAGCCCGACGTCAGCACCGGAAAGGGGTACTTCATCCAGCCAACGATCATCGATAACCCACCCAACGACTCCCGTATCATCCAAGAAGAGCCATTCGGTCCTATCGTGCCCACCCAGCCGTGGTCCGATCTTGATGAGGTTGTCGCACGCGCCAACAACACAAACACTGGTCTCGGTGCCTGTGTTTGGGGCAAGGACGTCGAGAAGGCCTGCAAGGTAGCGCGACGCCTCGAAGCCGGTTCCGTGTTCGTAAACTCATGGGAGAAGCCAACACCTCAGGCGATATTTGGAGGACACAAGGAATCTGGCATCGGTGGAGAGTGGGGCAAGACCGGTCTTCTTGCATACTGCAACCCTCACGTCATGCACGTCTACAAGTCATAATTATGGGCAGTTAACACCCGGCATGATCAGATAGATGAGCAAAGGGGATGATCACAACCTAGTCAATACAAGAATGTTTTGAAATGCTTGAAAGGCTTGAGTACCTTGACCCTGCGATGATGTGGCGGGACCCATTGAACGAAGGAACATGAAGCATTTGATAACCGGTGGCTAACATAGAAATCGTCTGTTCGCCTGGTGTTCGTACCGAAAAGGGTTTAGGTGACATCTACCTCTGACAGGCTTAGCGCTTGGCGCACCCACTGCACGGGCCCGCATGAAGCTTCGTACCTGGATGGCGGTTCTACATTCATATCGCATGAGCGGCACCTACCCACACGCAATATCATCCTTTTGCTGCGCGCCGCATCAGCCCACTGTTCATCGACTTGTCGTTCGTCGATGTTGGACTGGAACGGCTAAACTCGCTCGGTTCCGAGGTTCCTTTGGGTGCCGCCGTGCAATGATCTCCAGGATGCCGTTTCACGGTTTCATGAAACAATGCGCCTCATGGGAGCTAACCGCCCAAATTTGACCCACCACGGAATCGTTCCAGACGCAGAATCGCGGCTGGTGGTTTGTATAAGATGGAATCGCATCCGCCGCCATACTGTTTCTTCACTCACTCGGTCATCACCATTCTCTACACACTCTCTATCTTTTCTTCTTTCAACTCCACTGGAAGCGTGCTTCCTGACATTCTTTTCTTGAATACCCACATAGAAGCGAGCTTCTATCCTTTTTCCACCTACCAACCGAACACCTTTGAACCCGAACCGATCGAAAAGTAGCAATCATGCATTTCAGCACATCCTCCATCTACTTCGGTGTCGTCGCCTTGTCTTCGACTTCCGCTGTCCTTGCAGCTGCTCCCTACGGACAGTGCGGTGGTCAGGGCTTCCAGGGCGACTCTACCTGCCCCCAGGGATGGTCCTGCGTCAAGAGCAACGACTGGTACAGCCAGTGCGTTAGCGGTAGTGGAAACGGCCAGGCACCTCCTGCTGCTACCGGCGTTGCACCGGCACCCGTTGTTCCCTCCGCTGCGCCTGTGCCATCGATGAACGCTACCGAGCCCATCGCCGCCCCTGTCGCGGTTGCTCAGCCCGCTGCCACTGGCTCTGCCGGTGGTGCCAACGGCTCTACCCCCAACGTCGCTGGAAGCGGTGCCAACGGAGCCAAGTGCTCTCTCGATGCTGCCTTCAAGTCGCACGGCAAGAAGTACCTCGGTGTTGCCACCGACCAAGGTGCTCTCGGCAAGGGCAAGAACAAGGAGATCATCGTCGACAACTTCGGCCAGGTCACTCCTGAGAACAGCATGAAGTGGGATGCCACTGAGGCCACACAGGGCAAGTTCACCCTCGACGGTGCCAACGCGCTCGTCAGCTTCGCCACCGAGAACAACAAGCTCATCCGTGGCCACACCACCGTCTGGCACTCCCAGCTCCCTACCTGGGTCTCTTCCATCACCGACAAGACCAAGCTCACTGAGGTCATGACTGCCCACATTAAGAAGCTCATGACCACCTACGCCGGCAAGGTCTACGCCTGGGACGTCGTCAACGAGATCTTCAACGAGGACGGTTCTTTCCGCTCCTCCGTCTTCTACAACGTTCTCGGCGAGGACTTTGTTGCCACCGCTTTCGCTACCGCAAAGGCCGCCGACCCAGAGGCCAAGCTCTACATCAACGACTACAACCTCGACAGCCCCAGCTACGCTAAGACTAAGGCCATGGCCAGCAACGTCAAGAAGTGGATCGCTGCTGGTGTCCCCATTGACGGTATCGGTTCCCAGTCTCACTTGTCTGGCAGCTGGCCCATCTCTGACTACCCTGCTGCTCTCAAGCTCCTCTGTGGCTCTGCTCCCGAGTGCGCCATGACTGAGCTCGACATTAAGGGTGGATCTGCTGCTGACTACAAGACTGCCGTTACTGCCTGCTTGGACGTCGAGAACTGTGTTGGTGTTACCGTCTGGGGTGTCAGCGACACTGACTCTTGGATCGGTGCTGCTTCCACTCCTCTTCTCTTCGACGGCAGCTTCAAGGCCAAGGAGAACTACAACGGTCTCTGCACCGCTCTTGCTTAGATGCGTAGAGTGAACATGAGAGTTGTAAACTGACTTTACCACCTTTCGGTAGACGTTTAGTGTTTGTTCTGTTGAGATGGGATGGAATTCTATCGTATATATATTTACTTCTTTAAGATGAGAACATCATCTTTCAATTGATCATTTGAATCATTTCACTCTATTTCTCTATCCAGACAACAACGTGATGATGAAATGATGTCACATGTGCTTCATTTTCCAAAATGATTACGCTACGCCAAGTCGCAGGCTGACAGCCCTTCGGTGGGCTTCTAGTTCCTCAACGCGCGCGAGTTCCATAACAGCAGGTCCGACGTTCTCGAGTCCTTCCCTAGTCAAGTGGGAGCTGGTGATGTGCTTGACGTATGATGCAAGGTTGACACCAGAGTATTGCTTAGCGTAGCCATATGTTGCTATCTCAAGTTAGCAAAAAGTTTCGAAAAGGGTTTACGGGAGATGACTTACGAAGAGAGTGGTTTACACCAGCAGAATAGTCGCCGACACTCTCCGGGGTCCATTGGCCGATGAACACACTTCCAGCATTCTCTACCATCTCAGCTACCTTCTCTGCATCGTCGACTTGCAGGATGAGATGTTCGGGTGCGTAGTCGTTACTTAGCTGCATAGCCTCCTCCATTGTGTCTACTGCAAGTGTGAAGGAGTGCTCGATAGCGCCACGGACAATGTCTACTCGTGGTAGTGCGGTTGCCTGCTTGTGAAGCTCGTCTTCGACTGCAACAAGCTGTGACTCGTTCATTCCAACCGCAATCAAGATGACCTGAGAGTCGACACCGTGCTCAGCTTGGCTGAGAAGATCTGATGCAACGAAAGCAGGGTTGGCATTCGCATCCGCAATAACGAGCACCTCACTCGGTCCCGCAGGCATGTCGATGCTCACACCAGCGTTTGTGTCGTTGGAAACGTGCATTTTCGCTGCGGTCACGAACTGGTTGCCCGGACCGAGGATCTTGTCGACCTTGGTTACGCTTTCAGTACCGTATGCCATTGCTGCGACGGCTTGCGCACCACCAGCGAGGACGATAGATTCTGCGCCAACCTTGTGAGCAACGTAGACGACCTCGGGGGTGACTTGGCCATTAGAACGTGGCGGAGTCGCGAGGACAATCTTCTTGCAGCCAGCAACCATAGCAGGTACACCAAGCATGAGCGCTGTAGAAGGAAGCACGGCTGTTCCACCAGGCACGTACAGGCCGACCCTCTCAATCGGTCGAGCGAATCGTGAGCACACGATGCCGGGCATAGTCTCTACTCTCAGTGGCTTGTCCTCTTTCTGTGCAGCGTGGAACTTCCTGATGTTCTCAAATGACACATCAATGGCCTTGGCCGTCTCAGGCCTCAACTGCATGAGCTCCGGAGGGAATGGTGCCCTCAGCACTGGCGAGGTAAGCGAAGTAGCCTTCTCGAACTTGTGTGTGTATTCTAGCAACGCAGCATCTCCGCGAGTTCTGACCGCCTCGATGATTGGTAGACATATACCCAGGATCTTATCGGTCGAGCGTTGCGACGGTCGTTGAAGGGTGGCGCTGATGGTCTCTGGTGTCTCGTTTTTGGTTGCGTATCGTCTCATGGCGATGCGACCATCCTTTGTGCCGGCGGGGTCATCCTTGCTCTTAGGCACTGAAGCGGCTTCCTTGACCTCCTCCTTCGTTGGGGCGTTTGTTGTACCGTTCGTTGCTGCAGCTGCTTGGGCGGCAAAGGCCGGCTTAGCATCACCCTGTCGCCTCTTGACTTTGATGCTCTTCGCGTCGAGGTTACGCTCGACATCCTCCAATGACACGCCAGACGCTATGCACTTGGTGAGAGCAAAGTAAAAAAGATCAGCGGCTTCGAATGCGACTTCGTCTTTCGTGTTTGCGTCGCACAGCTCGGTGGCCTCCTCTAGTATCTTTGCCCTCAACAGCTGTGAGTCGTTGAAGAGTCGCGCGGTGTATGAGCCTTCCGGCGCTGAATCTTTCCGGCTCTGGAGGGTCTTTTGTAGTTTCGACAGGCCGGTGTACTCGCCGAAGCAAGTAGGAGTCGCAAGGTGGCAGAATCCCCTGCCCTTCTGTCGCACCACAAACTGCAAGCAGTCGCTATCGCAGTCGAGCGCTAATGACACCAGCTCTTGGACATCACCACTGCTTTCGCCCTTATACCACAATCCTCGCTTCCGGCTCTGGTATACACCCCGTCCAGTCTTGAGACTCTCCGCGACACTCTCTTCGCTGCTGTATACGAGCCCGAGGGCGACTCCGCGCTCATCTGTGACGAGAGTTGTGAAAAGGCCGTCGGATCGGTCGCTCGTTGCGTTGGCCATAAACAGCTTCGCGACGCTCAACGCGTTTGTTTGTTTCGAGGGGTCGACTGTGAGGTTTTCGGCGGAGATGATGGGTATCGCGGATAGTTTGGCTAGCTTCAAAACGCTTTCCATGCTCGGTTTCGCAAACGAGACGAAGACATTGGGGCGATCTGTTCCGTAGTCCTTTAGCCATGCTTCGACAAGGCCAACATCCTCCACCTGGTGGGAGTAGATGTCCACTGATGTACCCGCGATAGCTTCTATGATCTCTTCTTTTGTGTTTCCCGGCAAGCACAGCACTATCCTGTCTTGGTCGATCTTCAATGTCTTGAGCTGATCTAATTGCTGGCGGGTAACGAATACCTTGGCGGCGCCGGCATCGAGGAGAGATACAACATCGTCGATTGAGGTGACGGAAGCAACACCTAGATAGTTGGCGAAGCGGCCTACCGATTGCTTCAGGTGGGAGAGGGTCTCATCGATGGTCTCGTCGGTGACTCGAACAAAAACGTTGCCGACAAAGGACAATGCTTGAACATCAAGGCCTTGGGTAGATTTGGTGTAAGCAGCCAGATCAATCGCAGCAACAAGATTTGGTGCCATGGTGTAGAGTTTGGTGCGATTGAGGCTTGGACAGAAAGTGTGATTCACACTTCATGCGTGAGTCGCTAGTTCATTGTAGAAAAAGTTCCAGAACTAGCAGATGCCAAATCGCGGGGCGGGCTGCCCCACTACGGCGATGACGACAACAACGTAAGCACCGACGCGCTTCAGACGCGTCGCACTTGCCGGAAAGCCTCGGGTTAATATATATAACCTCTGGATACTGTTGTTTCCGTTCCGAGAGATACCTTCGCACACCCTGCTCACCCTTTGTGTTTGCAAGTTACTAGTTGACTTTGGACACTGGATCCGTCTCCTCTCGTTACTGTTTCCCTGGCCTAGCGTACGAACCGAGGTCCAGACTGAAGCGCAGGTAACTAGCGAACTGTAATCACCAACATGGAATCCCAAGGTACGATCAGTATTAGATGCTCGGAGGCACCGGAACCATTCCAAGGGCTCCACGGCATCTCCTTGGTCCGGAGAGATCCACAGCGGATGGTGGACTTGTTCATTCCGCCCGTAGCCCAGGATAGTACATGTACCCCACTCCATTGTGAAGGCTGCCTAGCGAAACCCACTATAATTCGTGTGTAGACTGGCGAGTATAAAAGGGTCGAATGCTCTCCGCGGGTGCCTGATCTCCAGTAAACCTGAAAACACCTCTTTCATCACGAACATGTCTTATTCACCACCCGACTCCGCCAAACCCTTCACTCTCAATGTCTCTGACCAGGACATTTCGGAATGGCGTCAACTCCTCCAGCTCTCTAAGCTGGCACCTGAAACCTGGGAAGGACGACAGGAAGACCGCCGCTTTGGCGTGTCCCGCAAGTGGCTGTCCGATGCAAAGGACTACTGGCTGAACAAGTACGACTGGCGCGCGCAGGAAAAACACATCAACTCATTCCCGAACTACAAGATGCAAATCGAGGACGTCGATATGCATTTTGTCGCTCTTTTCTCTGAGAAGAAGGATGCCATCCCCATCATCTTCATGCACGGGTGGCCAGGAAGTTTCCTCGAATTTCTGCCTATGTTGACGTTGATCAAGGAGAAGTATTCAGCCAAGGACCTACCGTACCACATTGTCGTGCCCTCACTGCCCGGGTACACGCTGAGTACCGTGCAGTCGGTAGATAAGGAATGGACTCTGGCAGACAGCAGTCGCGTCATGAACCAGCTGATGCTGAATCTGGGCTTCAACAAGTATCTCGCCCAGGGAGGAGACGTTGGCAGCTTTACGGCGCAAATGATGAGCCAATTGTACGACTCCTGTGTAGCATTGCATTGTAAGTCCAACTCCATATATCGATTACTCTGATTCTGATGTACCAGTGAACCTGATAAGTGGTCTTCCTAAGCCGGACGAGAACACTCCTTTGAATGAGGTAGAGAAGAAATCCCTGGGTTACGCAAAGGAATGGGCAACTAGCGGAACGGCCTACGCTCAGGAGCATGGCTCGAGACCCAGTACGATTGGGAATGTGTTGGCATCGAGCCCGCTCGCACTCCTTGCATGGTAATATCATCGTTTTACGTAGAGAGATGTTTCCACTAATGTCGTTCAGGATCGGTGAGAAGTTTCTTGAATGGAGCGATGAGGACCCGTCCCTCGACGAGACACTCACCAATGTGTCACTCTACTGGTTCACCGAAAGCTTTGCTCGTTCTATCTATCCCTATCGCGCGCTCTTTGGGTCGGGTGCTAGGGACATCGGTGCGCCCAAGAAGCCACTCGGTTTCTCGTTCTTCCCACGAGAACTGGCCCCAGGCATCAAGAGCATCTTGGAGAAAGAAACAAACTTGGTGTTCTATAAGCAGCACGAAAGCGGTGGACATTTTGCTGCTCTGGAAAAACCGAAAGAGCTCTGGCAGGATGTTGAGGAGTTTGCCGGCAAGGTTTGGAAGGTATGAGGTGGCATGAAGGATAGTGTCAGTCTTGGTATTGCGCACGAAGGACGGCTGACATGATGAAGGGTTCTGCTACGTCCTCGAGATTGTAGGAGTGCGATTTGTGGTCCCAGGGAGCTGCAAGGAGTTGCAATTGCATGCAAGGGACTTTTCGATGCTGCTAGTGCTATATGGATGCGGAGTATGGTACCTGATTAGTTGCTAGGAGGTACATGCCCTGCGAGTAAATGTTATTCCTGCTTCATCGACCAAAAGTCGCTCAATTTCCGCGATCCCAGTTACCGATTTCACGTCCATCGCAATTTGGATGGAACGCCGATTTGTTATCAATACCCCGACTTATAATCAATACACCGTTGGGCCCACCCGCACGCGCAGATCGCTCCTCCCCTGGCCGCAGAACTCCGCCCATCGGCTTCAATGTTCCGCATGACGCGCAGCGCCGGCCCCAACCTTCAACGATCGCACGACAGCACTGACAGGACATGACAAGAGGCCAAATCGGGCCGGCTCTTATATGTTTTGCTAAAATGTTCTACAGCAAGTAACCACCTTCTTAGTGTCGCCTCCGCGCCCTCATCGGCAGATGCATCGGCATCACCAAGGACACCAGCTACGCGTACACGCAACATGATTACCCGTCGGCAGTTGTGCAACAGAACGAAACATTCAATCTGAAGTGCGATCACGTGAGCCTCCCAGTGTTGCCTCGGTAGTATAGACCTTTACCCCAGCTTCTTCGCATGCTTCTTGTACAGTACAATTCGGTGTTTGGTGTCGCCAAAGATCGTCATCGCGGCACGTCCCTGCAGGGCTGCATAACGGAGCACCCCAAATATGCCCCAGCTTCTGTTATTCGTTTATCCTGCCCCAGGCACGGAGGCGAACGCTAGTAATGTACTGTGACGAAGACCCAGTTTTCGGTAGAATAAAGAGAAGATGCATTCCCAAAATCTTGGATTAAGGTTCTTACTCAATCTATCTGGCTTACTGTCAAGATGAGGTTCGACAAGTCACTCCAATGTGCGCTGCTGAATGCGCCTTCCGTCGTATTCGCCGCCCCACAGTCAGCATCTTACCCCACAAACGGCACGGCACCGGCCGCTTTCAGCTCGAAGTGTGAGGAACTTGCGTCTAAACTTCACATCGATGGCGGCGTTGTTACAACCGCCGAATTCGTCGCCGCTGGTACGAACCTGACTGTACCCGTATACGACGAAACATGTGCCGCAGCACCGCCAGCCATCACAGCGGACATGTGCCGCGTCGCGCTGAATGTGTCGACATCTGAGCGCTCTGGCTTCAGGATGGAGGCGTTCCTTCCAGCCAACTGGACAGGACGATTTCTCTCTGGCGGCAATGGAGGTTTGAATGGTTGCATCAGTTACGACGACTTGGCCTATGCGGTTGGTCTAGGTTTTGCTGCGGTTGGGACCAACAACGGGCACGATGGCACGAGTGGCTTGCCGTTTTACAATAACTCTGACGTTGTGGAGGACTTCGCATACCGAGCGTAAGTATCCGTGTGTTGGCATGCTAGAGACTTGCTGACCAACATTAGTTTACATACTGGTGTCGTGGTCGGAAAGCAGATCACCGAAGACTTCTACGGCAAACCGCACGACAAGTCCTATTACCTTGGATGCTCCACCGGAGGAAGACAGGGCATGAAGTCTGCTCAAGATTTCCCAGACGATTTCGACGGCATTGTTGCGGGAGCACCAGCCTTCGCCTTTAACAACCTTACCTCATGGAGTGGACACTTCTACACCCTCACTGGCCCAGCAAACTCGTCGTCCGCTTTCGTTCCGCAGTCAAAGTGGGTGCAGATTCACGCTGATGTCTTGAAGCAATGCGACAAGCTCGACAACCTCGAGGATGGCATTCTTGAGGCTCCTTTGCTTTGCCAGTATGACCCTTCGGGCCTAGCTTGCGCTGAGGGCAGCAACACCACTACCTGTCTTACGCCCGAGCAGCTAGAGACAGTCAAGGGAGTTTACTCGCCACTTCTCAACGATGCAGGAGACTTAGTCTATCCCCGTCTGCAGCCAGGTGCTGAGGTGATTGCGGCTGGCGCCATCATCAACGGACAGCCCTTTCCGTACACAACAGATTGGTTCCGCTACGCTATCTACAACGACCCTACCTGGGATCCTGCGACTCTTAGCTCCGAGGACTACGACTACGCCGCGAAACTGAATCTCTTTGGGATCGAGTCCTTCAAGGGTGATTTGAGCGGAATGAAGGACCGCGGCGCCAAGGTGCTACACTGGCATGGCGGCGCGGACTTTGTCATCTCATCCGATAACTCTGCTCGTTACTACGAACACGTCACTTCTACTATGGGTCTGTCGCCTGAAGAGCTCGACGAGTTCTACAGGTACTTCCTTGTCAGTGGAACTGGTCACTGTGGTGGGGGAGAGGGTGCGCACGCCATTGGCCAGAGCGTGGGCGAGGTCAACGGATACGAGACCAGCCACAACGTACTCATGGCTTTGGTTGACTGGGTAGAAAACGGCAACGCACCCGAGACACTTATCGGAACGAAGTTCGTCAACGACACGGTCGCTCTAGGCGTTGAATTCGAGCGCGCTCATTGCAAGTTCCCCAAGGTCAACCAGTACAAGGGCGGCAATCCCGATGTTATCGAGAGCTGGGAATGCGTTGACGCGTAAGGTCGAGTTTGGTTGTAGAATAAAGCATAGTGAAAATGGATCAAAGACTTATGTTCGACACTTGATAGTTCTCGTATCAATATGGATGTCTTTTTCAAGATGCCAAACCCGAAGATCATTCGCGTACTTCCAAATCAGCCTTAGGGTCGTCGTGAAGCATTCAGTCGTTGTACCGCTTACTACGTACACTGGAAATCTTCCCGGTGCGTAGACACCTACAGACACTTGCATCGAATGCATTATGAATGTCTCACGAAGTGTCTCATACATATTTCACTTTGGCCGCCCTTGACGTAGGATCGTCCCAGGATGGTATTGGAACAAATCTAAAAAACAGTCGGCGTACCCACATACCTACTGGCCATTCGGATTTTGCTGAGAACCATGGTTGAGATGCGTTGAAACCAAGGCTTACAACCCACATGTGGTATTTTCGTACCGAATCAATTTTCGCGCGTTACCTCGTACAATAGCGCTAAGACATGTAGTCGTGCTTTGCATAGTGTCGTCGGTGGATGTTTGAGAAGTGGAAGTGAAAGCCGAAGACTCACCGATTTCACTCCCCTACAACAACTACAACAGCGCAAGGTTAACAGCGTTTGACGTCACACAATCTCAGTCCGAGCGTCCTTTCTCTACAATGGCGCTCAACGGTATTGCAGTGCTTTTCAACGCGCCACAACTCACGTCCTCTGTGCATTCGAACTCGTTCCTCCAACACATCCACACCATCGCAACATCTGCGTACACGAAGCTTACGAGCATAACATCCAACAAAATGGGCTCATTTAGCGTTCCCGAATCCCCAATTCCAGCGCGGCCTGCGAAGTCGGCGGCCACTGCGAAAAAGCCATCTCCAAGAACACATGACGCCAATACGTCCATAGGCAAGCGCAAAGAACGCGCCAACTCAGACGAGTCCGGAGGTAACGGGGTAAACCAACCTTCACCAGCGAAAAAGAAAAAGCGAACATCGTTGGACGGTCGTTCTTCGGGAAAGAAAGCGATTGACTCCAGTCCCTCTTTAACACCACAAACGCATTCTAAGCACAGCCATGAAAAGGCGCCACCGAATGGCCGCCCGACGAACCATGAACCAACTTTCGCGCCAAACCGTCGATTGGAACCACCTCAATATCCGCCTCTAAACGCATGTGGACACACGATCCATCCCGTCTATAGCGAGAATTACGCCAAAGCCATGTGCCCGATGTGTTTGGTGGATGCCTCAATGAAGACACTCCAGCACATCCAAGAGTTCATCAACGCCCATGATGGCTTGTCTCAATGGAAAGAGAACCTTGAGGGTCACTATGCTAAGTCGACTTACCATGTCGCCAGTCTGGGTGGTAAAAAGGGGAAGAATGTGCATGGAACAGATGTGTCTTACAGACATTGCAAAAGAAACCTAGTCAACTTGATCAACGAGATAGAAGATCTTTCCAAGATGGAGCTGGCCTGGGAAGCGAAACAGCCTCCTGAGAACAACGACGTTTACGTGCAACATGTCCGACTCAGGAAGCAGTACAGTGCTACAGCTGCACTGCACTGGTACAAGGACACTGGACACAACGGCTTCATCGGTCGTGTCGAGGAGGACTGCGAGTTCTTCAGTCAACGCCGTGGACGGCGCTGGACAATCGCAAGCGATCCATACTTCCCTGACCGAGATGGTCTTGAACACGATCTAGGATGGAAATCGCTCAAGAAAATCCAACATAAGCTTCTCAACGAATCCGATATCCCCAAGGTTCAAAGGACCGATGCCGCAGAGCAACTGCCGAGGCGAAAGCGCCGACGAGAAGGCGCAAGCGTTTCATGGAACGAAGATGTTTACGTTCGCACAGAGGCTGACGTGGACGTGCTCCGTAAGGCATCATGCTCACTCTCAGAAGAGTTTCTCGAGCCTTCTCCAAAGAGGCCTATGATGGGCGTCCTTCGCACAACTCCACTCGAGATCACACAAGAGCTTATTCGCGCTACACCAGTCGCGAACGGCTCGAACCCTATTCGTCGTCACTACGTCATCCCGCTGAGCCGCAACGGGCCTCCGAGAGACGTTACTAGGAGCTCGATGTGCAGGCATAGACGACGGTACGTGAAGGGACAATGGGCAGTTCCGGAGGGAAGCGAAATCATCGATACCAGTGGATATCGCAAGAACTTCGACGTCCATGTCGCGAATATGGAGCAGCTGCAGATCGAGGCTGTGAAGTTGGACCGAGAAGACCTTGGCGGGGATACAGAGATGAGGGACGCTCCTGCCGCTGATGCGCAAAGATCAACACCACAGCCGTCGCGGTGGTCACCAAGCCTTGGGGGCCGACTGGTGAATTGCATCGCCAACCTTGGTGTCTTCCATTTTCCGGGTTTTGACAGACAAGATCGTGGCGGTGGTGAAACTTCGGCGCCGCAAAACAATGCTAGACACGCCAGTCTCCTGGCTTGATGCCGCTGTCAGGCTGTAACCATACATCGTGCTGACATCTTGTAAGTCGTTCCCTATAGATTGTCTTGGTGTTTCGCACTAACGGTCGTTTCCAAGGTTTACACGATGGATGCTTACGTGCTCAGCCCCAACATGTGACCTGTGGTACCTTGGCAGAGCGACTTATTCCCGACCGTCAACCCAACATCTCAATCACAAAATTCATACAACGATTCCCGACGCTATTTGCGAAAGACCTAGAATCTTTTAAAGATGGGCTGCTCAGCTATACGCTCTGAACTGGGGATCAGAAGGGTCGATTCACGGATCGACTTGGACGAGGATCCCCCGCAAAACGCCGACGGCCACATCCCGGAAATTGACAACTGCTCACGCTACGCTTGGCCTGCACGGACAAGAGATATCGATTCGGCGTAATTGTGACGCCTGAAGGGCAAGCACGTCGTCCAAATCGTGTGTAACGAAGTGGTTCAGATGTCGATCATGTCACTGCGTCGCTGGGTATAAAGCACCCTGTCTGCTTCATGCGCAGCGAAATGTTTCCAGTCTGATACCACTTGTAAAGTGCTCAACTGTTACCAGTACCATCGCCGATCTTATACGACAGGATGCGAGTCTCCATTGCTCCTGTAATTCTCTTCGCCTCTCTGGCATCTGCGGCTCCGCAATGGAGTGATCATTACAAACGCCAATGGACTGATCACTACAAACGCGAGGCTCCCACACCCTCACCCGAACTGGTTCAGCGCCAGGAGTCTTTCGCAGTACCCGAATGGGACAAACGCCAATGGACCGACCACTACAAACGCGAGGTTCCCACACCCTCACCCGAACTGGTTCAGCGCCAGGAGTCTTTCGTACCACCACCCCCATTCGCAGCTGTCCGAAGACAGGACAGTGCTGTATGGTACGCTCCTGGAGGCAAACGCGAGGCTCCCACACCCGCGCCTGAACTGGTTCAGCGCCAGGAATCGTTCGTACCACCCCGAGTCGCACGTGCGACTCCAATCGCGGAAGCAGCTGTCCGAAGACAAGACTCAATCCTCAGACCACCTAAACGCGAGGTCCCCCCTACACCCGCGCCTCAAGCTCTAGGGAAGAGACAGAATGCCCCACGCCAGCACACTGACCCGCCGGAGACTCTGCAGCTCCGCGGTATGCCTCGTCGAGACGACGCCGAGGCTCCTGAACCAACTGAACCTCCTAGTCCTCGTGACCTACCCGTAGGAGACGAAATCCTACCTCGAAGTGATGGAGAAGAGGAACCCATCACCAACGCCCGCAGAGCAGCGGACCCTGAGCCCACTGGTCCTAGTGACCAACCCCAAGTCATAGTCCCACGTCAAAAGACTGAAGACGGACAACGCAAGAGAAACGAAAAGGAGCCAATAACCGAGTTGCGCAGAGATGCCTACGCCAACCCTGAGCCCACCGACCCCCCCAGTCCCTGCGACAAGGCTGAGCCAGCCAAAGTAAAGCCCCGAACTGAAGAGGAAGAACCCACCGACCCTCCCAAAGCCAAAGCCCGAGACGACACAGACACCAACCCCATCTTAAAAGCCCTATCAGGAACCTACTCCCTGGTAAACACATCCAGCTCCCGCAACGGCGAACCCATCCCCGACCTCCCCTACGGCAAAGCCCCCGTCGGCCTGCTCATCTACACAGAATCCGGCTTCATGTCCGCCACCATCACAGCCACTGAACCTGAGTTCCGACCTAACCTCACCTTCCCCTACCAGCCTGACGACTCAGACGCTGACTGGGCGCTCGTCGGTAAGCACAGTATTGGGTACGCGGGTCCGTATAGCGTCAATGAGGAGTTGCCTGCGACGGAGACGGAGGGCCAGATCTTCCATGGCCCGCTGACGGTGGCGAATGTGCCGACTTGGGAGGGGCAGAAGGGGAAGAGGAATTATACGATTGTTGAGGTGGAGGAGAATGGAGAGGAGGTTAAGTATTTGAAGATTGGCAGTGAGAGAGGCAATGGGTATAGGGGTATTCTTTGGTGGAAGAAGGTTGATTAGATGGTGGTGATTTAGTTGGATTGGCGGAACGCTGATAGCGAAACAAACTTGAAGTTTGCTTATGGTTTCTCGATGGTTTTTGTCCACGTGTTCGGTGAGATGTGCTTTGATTTTTCAGGATAATTGGCCATGTTGACAGCATACGAAATCAAGAAATCATTGGGACGACAACAAGTATTCAGTCATATGATTGCACCCAAAGTTGACCATGTTGTCGAGTGTTTCGTATCTGGTTGCTGATTGATGATTGATGCTAGTGATAACCGCAACTTGATAGTAGCTGCCAGTGTCCATCCAAAATACTAGAGTCTTATGCAATCTCTCTGTGCCCTCCGGTCACTTGCCCCACACCTCTGATCTTGACTCCTGTGCACACTGTCCAGATATCAGTCGTTGCATAGCCCTCACTCTCTTCCTATTCAACCCTGCTTCAACGCCGTAGAACGTTCAAATCTGCTCGGATGACATGACCCAGAAGGCGGAACATTAGGATGGCATGTAGGACTTCAGCAGAGCCAAAATCTCGCTAACAACTGTGTTCGAAGTGGTGTCTCCCTCTCCACGAGAAGTGTCTGACGCCTAATCATCCGACTTCATTTCCACGTCCTTTGCATCTTTCGTCTCCTCTTTCGCTGCCGCATCTCCTTTAGGTTCTTTATCTTCGGCTTTTGCGTCGCTGGGTTTCTCAGCTCCTTCGTCTTTCATCTCTTGGTCCTTGGCTTCAGTCCCAGCTGGTAACTTGGGCTCTGGACTCTTGTGATCGAGGCTCGGCCTGCCAATGGCTCCTTCAATGTTGAGCTTTCCCTGCTTTTGCGGACCGGTATCCTCCATGCCAATAATCTCTGGACCTCGGGCATGTGGCGCTTCTTCCTCGCCCTCGACGGTGTCAACGATGGTACCTCCGCCTTCCATCTCGCCGAACGTAGTTCTTGTTGGGCTAGTAGTCATACTGTGCGGGTTGTTCAGAACAATGCCGGCCTCTTGTTCTTGGCGCAGGAGTTCGCCTTGAGTGACGGGCCCTGTAGACGGCAGTGTCTCGCCCTCGGGATGTGACGAAGCAATTTGGGCTACATTGGAGGTAGGAGATTCCGCCCGCTGACCACTCAGCATTCCCACAGTCACTGTTTCTATGCGACCAGCACCGTTGGGACCGTCGACCATTTCGGTGCTTTCTGAAATAAGCTCGTTCTGGCCGCGGTTCTGAAGCCAAGGGATGGGTGTAAGTAGAGCTCCGCCTAGTGCCTCATCTGAGCCTAGCTGTGCTGTCTGCGTAGTGGTAGATGTGGTGCCATTGAGCAGTCCGCTGGAAGTCGGCAGCACGGCTTGTGGCAGAGGGAAGATGGTGAGGGGCGAGGAGACGGAGACGACACGGTCGAGTGCGCGGAGGTAGGGTGGCAGGTATCGGTAGCGCTTCTTGGGCTCGAGTATGAGTTCAGCTAGGCGTTGGACGGTATGCGGGGGATGCTTCGCGAAGTTCTTGGAGAGGGTGGAGCGTATTGAGGAGTAGAAGGTGGTGACGTCTGTTGGCACGCTTTGCGACTCGGTCGAGGCGGAGAAGGCGGGCACAGGCGGTCGCGGGGGCGTGGCGGGCGGTGCATTCTCCTTGTCGGTGGCATGCGAGTCTTGGCTCGATATGGCATTGGACGTGTTAGGTCGCGATGGCAGGTCGGTGGTCGCGGACGTGGTCGGCCTGGGAAGTGCGTCTGCGGGTGGCTTGGGAAAGTCGGTGATGATCTGCGAGGGTCAGGGTTGATGGCTGTGGATATGGGTGGTTGATGATTACCTCATCCAGGCGATCCAAGATGTACTGCAGTGTCTTTGGCCATTCTGCTCTACATAGGCGCGTTAGACTCTACATGCGACGGACGGGAGCTCTATGGTGGGGACGTACGAGTCGAGGGAGCCGTCCTCGGCAGCTTTCTGGAGGATTAACTCTGCTGGAGGAGCATCAGTAGGTGCCGCGTTGCCAGAACCCTAGAACCCCAGACTCACCAGACGTCATGGCTGGCGCGCGTGGGTGTCGTGGTGGTGGCAGAGGCGCGACTCGCGATGGGGCTGCTTTTGGCGGGCCGATACTGCGTCAGTCGAAACGGCGACCCTGTGCACTACGCGTCCTTAATGATGTCAGATATGGCTGTGTGATTGGCCCAGACAAGTGACCGGAAAGCTGTCGGTGTCGCGCAAAATGACGGCAGATTGAGCTCCACTGCGCTGTACTCTTACCGTAGTGCTCACGGCCTGCGCCACAGATGCAATCTAAAGATAGCGCGGGCTAGCCAATGAGCAGCGGGCATCGCCGGGCGGTGCAGGTGGGCGATGGTTCAGCAGCTGCTGGGGCCAAGCCTTGTGCGCGTGAGAGGATGCCGAAAGCGCGAGGCAGCTGAGCAGCCAAAGGCTTGGGCTGCGCCGCAGCATGACAGTCCTTCCGTACTTGTAGAAGTCAGACCTCTTCGTATTTTGATATCCACAAGCCTCACCCAGGCTACCGTTGACGCAGAGTAAACACGGAGCAGCGAGCGGGTCTTACGGCGAGACCCCCTTCAGCCTTTCTCCACACCGGCCGGGGCTCTCCCAGGCGCTACTTTGCGCACATCTCAGCACCTGCGTCCACCTAGCAGCAGCCGTCCCATCTCCGCCCACTCCCCCAAATCCTAACAAACAACATCTCCTCCGCCGCTCGCTTGTGTTGTTGTCCGTCGATATCGCTCCTTATCAACAACTTCCCCCATCTCCGTCCCGTCGCTCGTCATCGCCTGTTGCTTCTTCGGCCTCTCCGCATAGCCAAGATACTAGTTTCAGCGACGCGCGCTCACCTGCTCCCCCGACGACAGCGACTCCCTTGGTTTCAGCACCTCGCCCAGCGCCCGCCCTTTGTCTCAAGTACCCCGGCAGCCCTACAAACCGCACCACGACACAGGTCGCAGTTTGTCTGCGCCGCACCACCACGCCCGCCTCACCACCCGCCTCTATATCCCCACGCACCAGCCGCCCATCGCGGCTGCCACCATAGCCAAAATTACTCACCACGAGGCCCGCCATTCCCTCCTAGGAGGCCAACCCCTCGACCGAGGCTACGCGCCCTACCCCAACACGACGTATCAACCAACATACCCACCGCAGCCCTCTTTCGATACCCAGCCTGGGGGGTATCACCACCGCGAAGGCTTCCCCACAACCCTCCCACCCGTCGTGCGCCGCCCACCGAGGATGTACGTTCCCAATACGCGCTGGACCTGGGCTTTTATGCTCACGGCCATCTGCCAGGTCGGCATTGCCCTCGCCCTAGAGTCGTACGTCTGCCCTTGCGCCACCCTCACCACCATGCGCCTGCTAACACCCCATCAGATATGTCTTTAGCAAGTTCCAGAATGAGATCCATTTCGCGGCCTCTGGTGCAGGCGCCAACGAGACCCGCACAATTCCCACTTTCCTCGCCGTCTTCATGTTCGGCTACGTCTACCAACTATTCCTCACCTGGGATGCCCTACGCATGAAGAACACCATTCAGGTCATCGGTCTCGTTCTCTACAACATCGGCATTCTCATCTACGCCGCCATCCAATTCGACCAGATCAAGGACGCTGCCGACGACCTCAACACGCGCCGCTTCATCCCCCAAGATTTCTGGGACGACGTCAAGCCTATGCTCATCGCTCTGCCCGTGCTTATGGCTGTCGCGACTCTCATTTTCGCCTTCGAAGCATGGAAGCTGTACGACGAGTTTGCCTGGACCATCTACAAGCGCATCAGTGCCGACACAAGACTGAAGAGGCGCTATCTGACTTACCAGGTACGGCTTGTCCAAAATCATGCATGCGCGCCTTACTGACTGCGATATAGATTTACATCGCGCTCCTCAAGTTCGACTTCTTCTTCTTCTTGGCCTTCACCGTGCAGTTCCTGGTTGTCGTCAAGAACACCAAGACAGTCGAACTCATCCTTACCGCAGCCGCCCTCGTCATCACCTTTTTTCTTCTGTTCCTCGCCGCCTGGTGGGTCCGTCGCGAGTCTGTCGCTGGAATGATTGGTATCATCGTCGTCTACTTCATTGCTCTCGGCTACTTCCTGTTCAAGCTCATCCGGATGTGGGTCGCCGATGCCAGCCGCCAGGAGGACTACAAGCCAGCCCGCAAGTCGCTGACTGCCTTTGCCATTCTCACCATCCTCCTACTCATCATCACCATTGTCACCGCGTGCTTATGCACACACAACTTCAACAAGGGCTTGAAGCCCCATGTCAACGACAAGATCGTCCAGAACGACAAGACATACAACACAGAGATGCCGTCATTGAGCGGACCTGCGCCATCACAACGGATGGAAATCGACTAGGCGCCCTTTTACATACCCCATTACACAAAATTTACGACATGACTTCTTGGATACCTGCTTTCTGCGAGCATAGCTTCATCATACCCGGATGAGATCAGCGGGACTGGCGTTCTTTCATCTAGGGATTCCTTTGGGCTATATGCGGAGATATCAGGTTGAAGATGGGACGGATTGCAATGTCGCATCATGTACGAGGAGTTATACCAACCCGCATTGTTTCCTTATTTCTTCCTTTACGACTTTTTGTACAACAACTGTCGGTCCTTTTTGTAACTAGGTGTCTGCTCATATTATACCCCACCATGAACAGACGAGCTCGGAATTGAATTGCGTTATGAACTGACTTTGTCTTGGCCATCATACTAGTGGACCGTGTCTCCTTTTGATCTTTGCATCTAGAGTTGTGTACGTGAATAAATACTTGTTCACGGTCGAGGCCCGACAGCCTGACAGTGGAGATCAAGGGGTTCAAAAGCTAGCTCCCCGACCGCCATGTGCGGGCGCGGGACCCTGCGACATCATCGGATCCACTCCCGCAAGCTCACCAAACTTACGTTGACTTACTCGACTTTCTTTTTCCACACACACCTTCTCCACTCTTGCACCCTTTTTTTCGCGGTCGGGTCCCTCGCTCTCAGTAGTACTTATACGTGCTGTATCTCTAGCTGCTGAGGCGATTGACTTCTCCCATCACCTTCAAAATGGCGTTTCGCTGGTACGTCACACAGGAAAAGCGGTGGAGAACCATCGTGGGAAAGGGGACAATGCTAATTCTGATGACAGGTACCAGGCAAAGCTTAGGACGTCGCCTTATCTGACGCAGAGTATCACTACCGCGGTATGCATACCCTTTACTTCGAATTGCGAGTCTTCAATCCCTCTTTGCGCGGCGCAATGCGACTTGATAGCCAGCGAGCGAGCAGGCCGATAGGCACATCCGACCAGTCGATGTACAAGAACGAGAGAGGAATTGAGCAGCTGGCATACCAAACGACGCAAACTGACATGCCGCGCCACAGGTACTCTTCGCAACGGGCGACACAATGGCCCAGCAAGGTGTCGAGCGCCGCGGCCTCGATAAGCACGACCTCGCTCGTACAGGACGCATGGCCGCCTACGGAGGATGTACATCTCCCCTTCCTCCATCGCCCTATCCATTCGCCATACTAACAACCATCCCAGGCATCTTCGGCCCCGCCGCAACAAAATGGTTCGACTTCCTCGTCAAGCGCGTAAACCTGCAATCCACAAACGGCACCATCCTCGCGCGCGTAGCCTGCGACCAGTTCCTCTTCGCGCCCTGTAACATGGCCCTCTTCCTCTCCACCATGGCTTACATGGAGGGTAACTCGCCTGTCCAGCGCCTCAAGGATGCGTACTTGCCGGGCTACCAGAAGAACTTGATGGTCTGGCCTTGGGTTCAGTTTACCAACTTCAAATACGTGCCCCAGGAGATGCGCGTTCTGGTTGTTAATGTTATTTCGCTCGGCTGGAACTGCTATTTGAGTAGCTTGAACTCGGCGGGTGGTACTAAGCCGAACCCGCCTGTGGGAAAGACGAAGGAGGGTGGGCAGTTGCCGCCTTCATAGAGGACTGCTCGTAGGAGGGTGGAAGGCGGTTGGGATTGCGACATTTGCCAGGGTCTTTGTTTGTTCATGGGGCTGCAACTCGACCGGATGATACCCTGGGCTATGTGAAAAGGCTATATAGATGGGGTGAAGATTGATAAATTAGGGCTGCACTTGATCGTTCATTAGCGTTGCAATGTTCTTTGCTTGATCGAGCTTGCGTGAATGGTCTCTTGCTATTCTACGTTTCATATTCGTTACCTTAAGATAGTACTACCTTCGTGCCTACCAACATGTAGAAAACATTCTCAGTTCACCTCACGCCAGATCACATATCAAGCTGGGCAGTAAGCACTTTATTCAAAGGCGTTGCTCTATCTCCACAAACATATCAAGCATCCAATCTCACGCATTGAATCAACAGTTTCGAACATTCCAACATATCAATTCCACTTTCCGCCGCCACACCCAAACCCTGTATACTACAACTACGACTACACTAAACAAGCAGCCTCATCTCCCTCTCCAAGAAGAGTGAGCTGAGAGAGTAAAGATTACCTGGCAACGTAACCCACAATCTTGCGTTGCCATCAAGTGAAAAAAAGAAAAGGGCAAAAGAAAACGCCTGCTAATGCAATAATTACCTCAGCATGCCGCACGCTGATGATGGTTGGAAGAGTATAAAAAGGCGTAAACAGAGTCGCACGTGCGTGAATATGTGGTATCCAGCGAGCACAAGCTAGAACAAGCAGAGCGAACAAGTTCCAAGAGGAAGGGAAAAGAGAGAGAGGAAAGAAACGTAGACAATGCGCCAGTATGCTCCCAAAACACCCACACCAATGTCAAACAACCAGATCGTTCCAAGCACTTGTCTGGCCACACGTCCTGCTGTGGCCCATGTTCCTGGAGGCACAATTTCAGGAACCATTGACTTCTCGTCTGGCACGTTAACGGCTGCTAGTTCGCTGCTTGCCCATGCGCCTGAAGAAGTCCATAACCTTCTTAGAGCTACCCGAACTTCCCTTGTTGCCGCTGCCTTGCTCGTCGTAGGCATCCACGAAACGTCGGTTCTTCTGTAGCACGGCTGTCTTCCTCTGCTGCTGGTTGGAGTCGTCACCACCCATGCCTGCAGGGTAAGGGTTGGATGGAGTTCGCTGACTAAATTGCTGTGACTGCGACATGTCGGCTTCTGAGTCGTCCGTGGGGTGTCGGTACGGGCGGTTTCCTTGGGCAGATGGGTGTGCTCCTTGTGGGTTGGGGAATTTTTCGTCAAACTCTGGGGCCGAGTGGTTGTAGCCGCTGAACTGAGTTTGGTTCGCTGGCGCCGAGGAAGGTCCAGGGGCGCTCGTGTTGGGTTGCCGTATTCTGGAGTTGCTATCGTGTTGACCGTCGTAGAGACCGGGCATGTTGCTTCCTTGGGTGCTCTGACTAGGAGACCTTGAGTCCGTAACGCGACCGAAAGGTCCACCGGGACGCGAGCTAGCGCGAGGACGAGAACTGGAGCCACGTCGCTCGTGCGAGGATTGCGCTGGTAAGCTATCCCGCTGAGAAGAGAAAGTCTTCGAGAGTGAAGATGGAAGAAGTGAGAAGCGGCGGCTGGATTTCGGGTTGTCGCCCGAGTTGCCTGTGTTCTTCCTAGAGAAGCCGAAAGAAGTTCGTCGGCTTGACTCCATGCTTGCTCTGGGGCCAGATGTCGAAGAAACCGCCTCGTTGGACATGGGTCCGGCCATGGAAGTGGGAGGATAACTCTTCTGTTTCTTCTCTTCAGGATAGCCGTAGGAACCTGTGGATGTAAATGACTCCTTGGGATCCTGCGTATAAGAAGGCTGACGACCGGAGAACATGGATGTCATGCGGCCGAGAGTCGAAGAAACAGTGTTCGATCTCCTGTGGCCGCCACCAGCTCCGCCATGTGGGGGACCCTGTACAGACTGCACTCGCTGCGAGCTCGACTGACCGATGTTGGGAGGCTCAGCTGCCTCAGAGGGCTCTTGCTGCTGAGCATAAGGTGCCGATATGGAGTATTGTTTGCCCTTTGGCTGGGAGAAGCGTCCCTCTGCGTTAGTCTGGGCGACGGTCGCGACAGATGGCTGTCCGTAAGAGTTTCCTCGCGACGGTAGTCTCGACGTGCCTAGAGCTCCACCAGTGGATGGACGTGTAGCAGAGGGGGGTGCATTGCCGAAAGCTGTGTAATCAGAGACGGACCGCTGAGGCTCTTGCCTTCTGGTCGAGTTGTAGGTTGTGCCAGAAGAACGAGGTTTGGCGCTCGAAGTGGACTGGTATCCATCGGTGGGTGGTGCTTCGGCCTCTTTGCCGCGTGCTTTCGGAGTTGTCTCGACTGGAGGGGATGCCTCGCCGCGGGCAGTCTGCGATGATGGCGCGACATATTCGACTTGCACGGTTCGTCGCTTGGTGTCGCGGGTAGTCTTTGGCTTCTCGGAGGGTGCCTGGTTGATCGCCTCGCGCTTCGTCTGGAGACCGCCGTGTGCGGTTGCGGGCGCGGCGTGCGGCTTCGAGGGTTCACGGACAGAAGCGCTTCTAGCGAGTGTGGGTTGCGGCTCGAACGTGTCTTCTGCTATCATGTCAATACCTGTGCATTTGTTGAAAGGTGGATCTGGAGGCTTACTCGAGTAGACGGACGCCTGTTGTGCCTCTGCCGCATTCGTGTTGCTTGAGGTGATAAAGCCAACAACGTGCGCGTAGTCAGCCAACCAGCTGTGACGCGCAACTTCGAACAAGTCCGCCCTTTTGCGTGGGTCTGGTACAAGGATGCGCTTCAGCAAGTCCCTTGCGTGTGGTGTGACGTATTCGGGAAAGGTGAGCGGTGTGGATACAATGTACTTGTAGAGCAGGTTGATATTATCGCCCTCGGGGTTCGCTGGATCGTCATCGAAAGGCAGATAACCAGCCAGCATGGCATACTATATCCAGTTAGCAAGTACGTGGAGATGCAAGATTAGAGGAACTCACCAGAATAACACCACAACTCCAGACATCGACCTTGCGACCGGTGTAGAGCGAATCGCTGACGACCAACTCAGGCGCCGCGTAGCAGGGACTTCCGCAGCTGGTCTGCATGAGATCACCTCTGCGGGCTGCGTCGGTTCCTTCCAGTCCCAGAGATCTTATGTAGTCTTTGTCTCCGAGTCTGTACTCAATCTCCTCGCTGAGCTCGTCGTTGGGGTCGAACGTGTTTGCGAATCCGAAATCGGTGATGATAATGTTCTTGTTGCGGTCGAGCAGCAGGTTCTCGAGCTTCAAGTCGCGGTGGACGATACCCTTGCGGTGGAGGTAGCCAACACCAGATATGAGCTGGGAGAAGAGCTTGCGGGCTGGGCCGTCCTTCAGGTAGCGATGGTTTAAGATGTAGTCGAACAATTCTCCGCCAGAAGCATATTCTAGAATGATACCGATATGGCGCTCGGTCTCGACCATCTCATGCAGGCGCACGATGTTGGGGTGGTCCAAACCGCGAAGGATGTGGATCTCGCGGTAGATCTTCTGGAGACGGTTCGAGTTGCTCCCCAGGGTCTCTCGCCGTATGAGCTTGATGGCGACCTCGACCGAACTGTCTCGTTTCCAGCCCATCTTGACCTTGCCGAACTCTCCCTCGCCAAGCGTCTGGCCGAGGATGTAGTTGCCAAACTTGGATCGCTTCGCATTCTCCGACTTGGAGTGGTCCTGTCTGCTCTTTCCTCCTACTGCGCCTCCGCTTCCGCTGCCACTTCCACCGCGGCCGCCATCATCGACGCCTTCGCTGCCGACCAGACTGAGTCCGGTGATGGGAGTCAGATCTGCGCCAGCCGTGACGGATGGGCCGTCTCCTTGGCGTGCTTGGGCGCGGGCGATGTCGTCCTGGGTGTCGGAGACGACGATGCGATTTATGACGGCGCTCTCTTCACGGGGCAAGCTGGTTCCTACGGGGGGCTGGCCAATGGCGGTGGCAGAGCGACTGTGGCCGGGCTGCGCTCGGGTCGAGGTGGTGGTCTGGCGAGGGCTGTCCTTTTCCCGCCGGCGTGAGTCTTCGCGTGTCCGCGAGGGCTGTGATGACGAGGATGCAGATGCCGTGTTGGGCGAGCGGTGCGACGAGGTCCTGGGGGGCGCCATGGGCCCGCTGCCGTTGGTGGTGGGCGCGGTGTTCATCGGGGGAGAGGTCTGCGAGGTAGGCGTGTTGGGCGACGCGCCATTACTGGGCCGTCGCGACGTCGGGCGGCGAGCGGTGCCGGGCGAGGCTGCTTGGGGCGGTTGCTGCTGGTAGTACTGCTGCTGCTGACCATGCGGCGGCTGCGATGCCACTGCGGCCATGATCTGGGGACGGCGAGTATAGTGCAGGGCCTGGGGGGTGGTGCGCTATGTTATCGGTCCTAAGCTGCGCTGGCAGTATTTGTGGGCGGAACGTCAACTGGCGGTGTTGAGCTGTCGAATGGGCTTTGGCGGGGAGAGTGGCCAAATCGGAGCCGCGGCGGTGTGTGAGCAATTGGGACGCGACAGACTAGATAGCTTCACATGCGCGTGCAGGTGCAGCGTGGGCAGCGAGCGTGCAGAGGGGGTGCACAAAGGGCGGCCGTGGAGCGAGTCGGCGCCGGTGACAGCGCGGTCGGCTATCTAACGGTCGCGGCGAGAAGCTGCTCGACCTCGACGTGTTGATTGACGTGAGTGGAGAGAAGAGAAGGCGCGGCTGAGGTTGGTCTTGACGGCAATTTCGGTAAAGGCTGTGGCTTGGGAAAGGAGGCAGATGCACATCATCGACATGGGCTCGGCATAAACCAGCCCGCCAAAGCAAGGACGCGGGCACTGGTCTGCTAGATGCGATAATTACTCACGCCTACAGCTAGCCAGGCACTCCCAGCGCCTCCTCTAACACGCACGCCCGAACAACGCCCTTCACCACGCCCTCGATGTCTGCGCTCGACGCGCCTGTCTGCACCAAGGCGCTCGAATAGGAGTAGCAGCCATGGGTCGTTGTTTCACACAGCACCGACCCGCCCGCAAATTGCCTGTTATGCGCTCGCCCGCCGTGTGCGCTGCTGCGATATCTTGGGCTGGCCCTCGATATAGACGCTGCCGGCTCCTTGAATGTCGCTTGACCGCGCGCCTGCTGCGAGACATGCATGATCCATTCCTGTCATCTACCCATCCGTATGACCGTCGCTGTCTAGATCGCTATGCGCGTGCTCACAGCGGCCGACGCGTCCAAGAGCAAAAGCAACACGATAAACATCAACAACACGCCCAACTTTGTCGCAGAACGTTATGACGCGCCCTGCCGGGATGGGCAGCACAAACAAGCCCAGATGACGCCCCCTAACTTCATCTGACAATTCACCGCAAGGACATCCACGCGTGTAGCAGCAAAGACGGAGGTTCGCAACAAGACAGGTCGACCAAACCGCTGTCACCATGTCTCAGCCGTCCACGCCGTAAGGGAGGCTTGCCCTGCATGTCTTTGCATTCCTCGCCAACGCGTCCAATGAGACTAAGCAACCGACAGACAGACCGAATGACTGACATCCATCTCTGCATCTCCAACTCGGTCTGCGCAAAGCATTTTCTCGACACGCAGAACGAGGCAAGATAACCTTCCAGTCCGAGTCGCGCCGTCTGCTCTGTATAATTTTCCCCTTTGGGCGAGCGTTAGGCCGCTCTTCGGAACATTGGAAATTAGATGTTTGGCGCCTCGATCGCCCTTGCCGTGCAACCAGCGGACCCACCTTCCCGCTCCCACCGTTACTCGACTCTTGCGCCATCTCCAGATGCCCTCGCGCTGTGCGACACGAGCCTCTGCCGTCCGGCTTGACGTCACTTTGGGAAAATGCCTGCCAACGCTTCATTTCCTTTCCACCGCCTGCGGCACATCCTGCGGAGCATATCTCCAGACTGCAACGGTCGAACCCCGCGAGCATGGATCCGCTGTTCGAGTCGGGCACATTGGTCTCTTCTCACCTTACATTGAGTTTAACCATCTTCCAACGTCAGCTCTAGATTGCCGTTTCCTACGTAATGTTCAGATTGAGTTGCATGTCGGGTCAATGTTGAGGAACTACTGCTTCGGACGTTGTTGAAGCAGATTGTGACAGCACTGGTCAGACGGGTTTACCCTCGCCGTGTCGCTGTAATACTTGGTCATGCGCACGTTTATGACAGAATGAGTTGGAAGGTAGATCCGGAAGCTGCGGAGGTAGTGGTAAGTTGCGGGGGACACCATGAGTGTAAGAGAGAATCACGTAAACTAGAGGTCTAGAACTTTGCAACTAGTACACTTTGCATTGAGAACCCACGAGTAGGTTACACCAACTGGTGACATGCCCTCAGCGTAATTTCGTTATTTGGTGGTTCACTACGGCTATTCTTCTGCACTCATGCCACTTCACATCTTAATCTCGTTCGGCAGACCGACCTCCAGGATGTCAACGCCCTTCTGCAGCTCGCTCTTACTGGGCATCTTGTTCCTACGCATGAGCTCTGCTGCCTGTGTCATGTATGGATCCTTCATCATACTCGCGACGGCCACCACTGTCTCGCCCTGGGTGTAGTACGCGACGAACGACGGCTTCTCTGGCTCGCCCTGGAGGATCACGTCGTCGTAGCCACCAACCGTGTTACCGCAGTATCGCAGCTGCGAACCCAAGGCCGACCAAAAGACGGGAATGAAGGGCTTTGCTTTGGATCCTGGGTTGTTGATCGTGTTGGCTACAGAGCGACCGGCGTTTTGTGCCACGTTCCAGTGCTCGATACGAACTGGTGTGCCGTTACCTCCTGGTCCGTGGTAGGGGTATGTTGCGATGTCACCGATGGCATATACATCCTTCAGGCCACTGACGGCAAACGACTCGTCTGTCTTCAATGATCCGTCCTTCTCCAGCGTAACGCTCGAGTTGTCCTTGAGGTATTCAGTCGCAGGCGCGACACCGACACCTTCGATGACGAGGTCTGCCTCCAAGGTAGTTCCGTCCTTGAGATGCACAGCACCGACCTTGGATGAATCGCTCTTGGAAGGAGTAGCCTTCTCGACACTGGCGCCCATCTTGAACTTGACGCCGTTCTTCTCAAGCAGACCGCGGAAAATGCCGCCAACCTTCTTTCCCATTACCCGCTCCATTGGTTCTGCGATAGCATTAGAATACCATCAACGAGAGCAGATGGATCACTTACCCTCTTCCATACCAATGATGGTCACATCGTTCTTCATGCTAGCGAGGCAGTTGCCGACCTCCATACCGATGAACGAGCTGCCAACGACCACGACCTTCTTGCCGTTGTCCCCAACAGCCTTGAGGATGTTCTGTGCATCGGGTAGCGTGCGGAGAAGGAAGACATTGCCCAGGTCGCCCTTGAGACCGTCAAGTGGCAGCCACCTTGGGGTGCCACCAGTCGCCAACACCAGCTTTGTGTACTCGTATTCCTTGCCAGACTTTGTGGACACCTTCTTGCCGGAAAAGTCTACGCTCTTCGCCTCGTCTTCGATAATGTCAATCGACGCGTCCTTGTAGAACTCTTTCGACCTCCAGGCCGCCTTGGAGATATCAGCCAGCAGCGCCTTGGACAACTTGGTTCGATCAATTGGCTGGTAGCCTTCCTTGGAGATCACAGTAATCTTGCCATTGTATCCGCCGCCTCTCAGACCTTCAATGGCACCAAGAGTACCCGAGCCACCACCAATGACTAGCACCTTGTCCTCGCTCACTGATGAGCACTTGATGTTCAGATATCTGCGGTTGGCCTTCAGTGCGTCTTCGGTGGTCTTAACGTATACGGCGCCGTCCTTCTCGACTACTTCGTACTTCGCGATGGGGTCGAGCGCCGGTGCGTCTTCAACATCTCCGGTCGAGACCTTGAAGCAGGCTACGAATGTCAGTCTTGAACATGCGACACATATAACGTATCGGTATTACCTCCGTGCCATGGGCAGGTCAAACGACCCTCTGGTGTCAATACACCCTTCACTAATGGCGCGCCGTAATGTGTGCAGTTGGCACTGGTAGCATGCACCTGGTCCTGGATCTTCAACAGGAGCACTTTTCCTCCCTCAACACCCTCAACTTCGACCTCCTTCTTGTCTCCATTCTTCATTTGTAAGGAAGTGACATCCTTGAGCTTGTATTCTTGAGCCATGGCTGCGGTTGTTGATGTAAACGGAGCTCTTTGTAGACGGCTGGTGGGGCTGAATTGGAGTTTGAGTGAGGTTCGTAAGGGTCGTAGAATACGTAGTGACTGCATTAATGTTGTAAAGAGAGGTGAAGAGTGAAGGGGTGTCTATGAGCGCGACAGCTGCCAGTTGGCCAATGGTGAGGGGCGCATTACTGACATTTAGTGATGTCACGACTGGACGTGCAGGAGCTCCAGAAGCTGTAGCGCCGATCTCGACCCCACTTCGTTCGGTATTACTTCAATGTGGTGTCACCTTACTATATAACAAACAAATTGAATGAGTGGGTTGCAGTCTACATGAGCTTGCAAATAATGCTCAAGGGCCTTTGCGAGATTCTCTCGTCTCTGTTGTTCTCTGTACGAAGTAGGCGTTGAAGCTTGCGTGAATTGGGTGGTGTGTTCAACCCCACTGTCAACGTTCCCTACAAATACGAACATCTACATCTTTAATGCGGTAGGACTACAGCGCTTCGAAGCCCATACAGTCCTCATGATGCCCTTGTTTTGGGGTGTGGGTGTGACCCTCGTGCTGGTACATACTGTTGACTACTACTACTACTACTACTACTACTACTACTACTACTACTACTACTACTACTACTACTACTACTACTACTACTACTACTACTACTACTACTACTACTACTACTACTACTACTACTACTACTACTACTACTACTACTACTACTACTACTACTACTACTACTACTACTACTACTACGTCTATTCTAGCCTGTTCTAACCTTAATATTTAAGTATGCAGGCTATCCTTTCTTTACGAAGTAGAACTGTAGTTTAGTTAATAGTACCTTAGGTGTGTTTTCGCGAACTATAGTGCCCCTCTGGCCACATCGCAGTTGCGCAGGCAGCAGCGAGCACATACTGTTGACCTGGCAACCATTGCACGACTGAAAAACTCGAGCTTCACTGCAGTACTTCGTGGAAGACTTAATGTGATAAGAATATCGTCCAAGACAAAGGCCGAGAAATAGACAAATCCTGGATCACATAAGCGAAATGACATGCAAGAAGCAATTGAGATTACGTAGAATGGCTACGATACACACCAAGCCAAACTTGCTGATGGCTTTAATCCAGGGACCGAAAAATTGTCTTCGCTCGCCTCTGCATGGAAACTTCCGCCCTCACTTGTGCAGTCGCAACTATAACCCTCTGCTGTGGAATCTCGCGATGTCAGAATAGGGACGTGGGACGCGGCTACCCTCCGCGTAGCCGCCACCTACCAAACATCGACTAAGCACATACTCTAGTTTGGCTGATCACAAAGCAAACATACGCGTAACACTCCAATCCGGTGACATTGGCCTCTTACCCCGCGGCCTGTTAGTGCAGTACCAAACAGTAGTTCTGACAGCAAAGCAATATCTTGCAGTAGACCTGAACCTTTGTTCAGTGCTTTTCAAGCCTTCGCCCCGCCACCCGACCCTTCTCACCACCAGTCACCGTCTGCCATTGCCGACAACACCACCATACACCCACATCAGACAGTAAAGCAAAAACTCAAGGCTGACTCAATACTTAATCACGATTTCTCACCGCGATCTGATTTTAGACCTTGGATCGTCGAGATTTTGTTGAAAAGTCATTGCGGACCCCGCTCGTGCAAGGTCAATTCAGGGCATCAGGGTCAACCCTTTACCAACTCATAGACAGTCCCCTAAGCACCAACTTGACGGCGACCGAAGCGCACGTTGTGAGTAGCGCATGAGCCAGGCAAGAGTAACTTGACGACACTTCGGTACCGACGGCCGGCTGTTAACATGGCTCGTTAGTGGCACAGATACTCACAAGACCGAGTGCTGACGAGCACAGACACATCCTTCCCTTCGGACCTACCTGTCCCTCAGGATGACGGCGCGTGTTTGCACTTGAGCGGAACACAGATACCTTCCGTATCCTTGTCCGCAACGTCAGGAGACTGGCTTGATGTCTCGATTTATCCGGGCCTGACCATCGTCTTCTGCTATCCGCGTACCGGTGCACCTGGTGAAACAATCACTGAAGATTGGAACTACATACCAGGAGCACGAGGCTGCACACCTCAGGCGTGCAGCTTTCGTGACGAGATGGTCAAACTACGCGACCTCGGCGCACAGCGTGTATTTGGATTGTCGACTCAGGACACTGCCTACCAAAAAGAGGCCAAGGACCGGCTGCATTTACCCTACGAACTGCTTTCGGACGAGAATCTACACTTTGCCAATGCCCTGAAATTACCCACATTCAAATGGCAAGATAAGACACTGATCAAGAGATGCGCCCTCGCGATCGAAGACGCAGTCATCGTCAAAGTCTGGTACCCTGTTTTCCCTCCCGACAGCAGCGCGAAAGACGTAGTGGGATGGCTCGCAGGCAGAAAATAGTATATGCAGGTACCATTTCCGTGCCCCTGAAACGACTTGGTACCACATTTGGATGCGCACCCGTGAACTTCCTGACTCGGGCCCCTACGGTGCTTTTACGGCTGCCGAATCCGGCTATGTTGGTAGTAGACAGGGGAACTAACAGCAGTAATCGCAACGTACTCAATACTGGGCGCAACAGGAACTGGGGGGTCAAATTCTCTCGATTAGCACGACGGTATGTACCGTCCTCGTGATATACCTTTATTGCCCTCACACACACTGTCAACTGTCGCGGCAAAAGCAATGTTTGGGGACAAGGTTTGACGGGTGCGACGTTGGGTTGCGCACTAAGGATCGTCAAACCTCCAACCGAACGTGGATCGCCCGCACCGTGCGTGCATCGTCAATAAACTTTAGCTCCACGCTCTTCTGCCGGACCCTACAAGATATGGTCTAACCCGTGCCGCCCTGCATGGCGATGTTGTGTCGCAAGGACTCTGTCGATCGCGGATCTTCGTGACTTTGTGAGCACCTACTACTATCCTTCATACACACTACATTCGTTCTATATGCTTTCTTTTCGGAGAACTTGGTGTATCACATAAAGAAGCCTGCGCATCCTGACGAAGTGGCTGAGGCATCGGCGCGGCGTCGTTCACTCACTCCTTATCAGTATATCCAGCTTCAACACAATCTTTAATAATAATGTCTACCACACTCATTACTACGCGCCGACGACCACAAAGCACTACATCTACTTCATCGCGAAGAGCGCCGGCTACATCCACTTCGTCACAAAGAGCGACTGGTACTTCTACCAAACAACGGAAACCGAGCGCAACTTCTACGTCCTTACGTATTGCATCGTCGTCACCAACCGCACTACCTACCAACTTGGCGTCAGACTTCTCCTTCATCCAACTTGGAACGAATGCTCCCGTTCCCAGCGTAACCAACTCACTCAATCAGCCAAGCCTCGTGGACACCTCTAAGGGACCCACCGAAACATGCTCTACAGATAGCGACTGCGCAAGCGGCAAAGCGTGCTCGAGCGCAAAATGTGTTACCATGGGCGGAGCTGCACCGCTTGGCGGGTCGGGCGCAGAGCCAACTTCGCGACTAACCCCAGGGTCGGCTATTGGCATCGGTGTAGGAGTTGTGGGAATGGTGGTGTTGATGATTGCAGCCGGTTACTGGTTCTGGAGGATTCGAGCAAGACGGCCACGCACCCATACGATCGAAGCGCCCTCACACACTCGACAAAGGTCTGCCTCAAATGCCACAGATCAGAGGACCTTGGTAGCATCACTACCAAACAGTCCCCAGAACGCAGCCTTCAGTCAACAACATACCATGGACCCTGGGCTGTTTGCCAGGGCTCTTGCGTTCAACGAGAAGAAGGAGAAACCGGACAACAAGAGGTCAGGATCTATGGAGAAGCACGCACGAAGCTCGACAGAAAAGGCACTGCCACCTCGTCCAACACCTCATCCGCTCATGGAACATCCTCTTCCACCACCGCCAACAAAAGCAAAATCGTATGCTGTCAATGTCAACATCAATAAAAGCATGATACTCGACGATGAGTTGATCAATGCTGTCAGTTCGCTTCGGGGTAATGATACTCCTCGCAGCGGTACCCCAACCCGCGATCGTGCGCCGCGTTACAAGTTTGAGGAATACATCCCGCCTACAGCCGCTCCTCCATCGATATCCATCTCGCATGCCACGCCTACTACGGAAAAGCGAAACTCTGAATACGAACTTAGCCAGTTACCGAACAGAAGACGCTCTGTCGACAGTGTCTCGGTAGCCGACGACAGTTCGAACGGAGGCGATTCCGAACCGCCCTCCCCCGTTAGAGAAACACTTTCTAAACTGGAGAGCAAGCCTCCTCAACTTCCATTACCCGACTTGCCGCCTCCAAGTCCAAGCTTCAGCTTCCGTTCTTACGACTGGTACCAGGATATCATAGGCGATCAACCAAATGGCGAGCCGATCACGCCCACCGTTCCTTCGCGCAACCCTGCGCGAACACCGACAGAATCCACATTTCCTAAACCACTATCTCTTTCTCCAAAGAAGGCCCAGTCCGCCATGCGACACTCGAGTCTTATTCCAGAACCACTTTCACCTGGTGCACCTCCTGCTGCATCAGGTTTGCTTTTACATCCAAGTTCAACGGTACTACCCAGTCCTACGAACCCGAACTATCGTTTATCACCAACTGTTTATACCCCTCCGCGACAGCAATCTCCTATACCACCAACAGCACCCCGTCGTGCCTCCGCACGAGCTTCTACAATGACCACGGCAACCCGAGCTACGCACGATTCTCGAAGCTGGCTACCGGACGATGGACTGTACCTTGCTGAAGAAGGCGATGAATACGCCGAATACAAGACTTTCCATCGACCCAGCGAGGACAGCAGACCTACAAGCTACTCGCCTTTAACATGAGCAATACAAGCCGCCTATCCTACCGCCATTCCAACTATGATGTTGGGAGCGCGCTGAGCTATGTATTTCTACCCATGCGGGCCGTGTACTGCGTGCACCCACATTCTTCATTCTCCACGGGCCGAGACCCTCAGGAAGGATCGCATTGCGCGCAGTGTAATACATCCGCCGCTCCACTTCTCTGTCCCGACTTTGGGCCAACGAGGGCGTGCGCGCCAGCCCTGTACTCCGACGCACGGGAAGGAAGTACGCGGGAAAACGCTAAGACACGCGAGGCCGTGAACTGCATGCAGCTCCATGATGCAATGCGAGCCAGGAGCAAATACTACAGATCATCCTGCAGAGCGGATGCAATGTCACAACGACGTCTAACATTCTTGTACTTTAATACCCTAACGTAATGTAAAACAAACAGTATCAATGAAATACAACAAGTATCAATTTCATAACAGTATGGCTGTGTGTATAAGCTTTCTTCCTTCGTGACCAGCAACCGTGCTTGTGGGGAGATCTGCGTGCGACCCCACTGTCATGACATGTGGCTACAGAACGTTGAACCCGCCACATCGTGCCGTGCATGTACAAGTTTTGGCTCTACCGAGATACATTCCGTGGCGCGTCCACTATATGTGCTCTTGTCAGCTTCGGAAGTGGACTGGGATGTTCACGTGGACGGAGAAAGTAAGGGCGCCGTGAAGGCGTTCGGAGATGCTTAGCAGCTTCCCTCCGTCGGGTCGCACCTACTGATTCGGTGAATGTCGAAGCAGGCACGATGACTTCCGTGCCAAAACTACAAACGAAGACAACACCTCGACACCAACTGCCAGCCCTACGTTGATGTTGTGATCTCCAACCTTGACGATGAATCGTTTCTTTTCCTTCAAGGATCCGTTCTTTTCTTTCAGGATTGTCGCGC